TGGAGAGCAAGGCAGGGGCAGGCTGGGAATGGCAGATCCAGAGAGCATCTCAGAGGGCCCTCAACCTTCTGCCTGGGTCCCCAAGACAGAAACTTGGAGGCCATTCTTCCTTGTTCATCCCTCATCCCTCAAGCCCAACCAAAAGGCAAGATTTGTCCATCTCCTTCTGAAATATATGGAATCTGTCTAACCTCCTCCATCCCCATCTTCAGGGTTTCCCTGCCTCTTGCACTGTCCCTGACCCAATCTATTAGTCAATAGGAATTTTCTAAACATGTATCTGAATATGTCATCCCCACAGCCCCCAGAATAAAGCCCAGATACCTTTCCTGACTTACAAGGCTCTACTTGATGTGAGCCCTACATGTCACCAGAGCCTTAAACTCCAGCCATTGTGGACTTTTCCCAAGAGTATGCTCTCCTTTGCCTCTTAGCCTGGGAACATACTGCTGTCCCCTGCACCTGGGACACTCATTCTGTACTACCCCCTCCCCAGGTCCCCTTTCCTCAAATCACCACCTCACTTTGATCCCAACACCAGTGTTCCTTCCTCAAGGGCAGCCTCTCCCTCACCCTTAGAGCAGTCTCACCCCTATCTTCCACATTGCAGTCCAACTGTCTCCTCCCACACCGGAGCTCTACCCCAGGGTTCTACCAGAGAGGCCAGGCTGCTCTCACCACTGCCCTCCATCCTCCTACCTGCTCCTGTCCTGGGACCCTCAGAGCCAGGCTCACCAGCCCTAGTCCTACGTCCCCCTGCCCTTGTATCCCAGTCTCTGCTTCCTCACTCTGTGTAGCTCTTCCTTTTTAGGGTCATGGTCCTTCCGACATTTTCCATTTGTCTCTTTAAAAAAGATTTTATCCATTGATTTTCTATTCAAAGAATTCTATTCAAATAAAAACTAAGTTAATTTAAAGAAAAACATTAAATAATGGTGCAGGTGGTACAAGGACACTGCATGATAGAAGTTTGGGAAACGTGACTTTGGCCAACATTTAGGTGCTCTGTATAGATTCCTTTAGATCCCTTTTATTGTTTCTGTGCCTCCCTCTCTGGGGCTTGATGTGCTTTGACGTCAAAGGGCTGGCACCGGTCCTCGGGTCACTGGGACTGCTTTGCTCCCATTCTGAGAGAGCCCAAAGTGCCTGGGAGCTTAAGGTCCCCATGACAGCCCTTAGCTATGACTGACTAGTGTGAGAGTATGATAGCCCAGCTGCCTCACCCTTGTTTCTGACAACTCTGAGATCCCATGTCTAGAACAGAACCTAGCACATCGCGGGCACTCAATAAATGTTTGCTGAATGAACAAATGTAACCCAATTTATCAATCTTATCCTCTGTAATTTCTAGAATTTTTGTCACTCCTAGGCCTTTCCCATCTAAGATCAAAAAAGCATTTACTCCTATTTGTTCTGGTATACTTATTTATTTTTAAATTTAATTATTTGATCCATCTTGATATGCTGTAAGGACTGAGGTAAATATTTATTTTCTCCTCATGAATAATCAGTTGTCCCAATAGCAATTCTTTTTTTTTTAAAGCAAATTTATTTATTTTTTTTTTTGAGGAAGATTAGCCCTGAGCTAACATCTGCTGCCAATCCTCCTCTTTTTGCTGAGGAAGACTGGCCCTGGACTTAACATCTGTGCCCATCTTCCTCTACTTTATATGTGGGATGTCTACCACAGCATGGCTTGCCAAGCGGTGCCATGTCCACACCTGGAATCCGAACCAGCGAACCCCTGGCCGCCAAAGCATAACGTGTGCACTTAACCATTACACCACTGGGCCAGCCCCCCAACAGCAATTCTTGAATACTTCCTTCATCTGTAAAACCAAGATACTATCTTACCTAAGATTCATTCAGTGAGGTATTATGCAATCATTTATAATGGTAGTTATAATGATGATGTGACCATGTGGAAAAATGCTCACTTTCTAATTTTAACCATGATTTTTTTATAGCTACCTAAAAATTACGTCAACATATAGGCAAAGTCAGGGAGAAATGGAGGAAAAGAGATTGATTTAAGAAGGGTGACAGGGCTGTGGGTAAATGTTTTCTTTGATTCCTATTAATATTTATGAAATAAATAATAAATTGAAACTTTGAACAGAATGTGAAGGGGAAGATGGACTTAAAAGATAGCAAGGTATTTTCTTCCTTGAGTGTGAGACAAAGACTTGGGTGAAGGTATTTTTGTTGTTTTTGGAGGTGATCTCAGGAAGCTGAGGACAGTGGAGGATGCAGGTAACGGAAAATTTTACTGGACGGTCCTAGGGGGTCACCATTACAGGAAAGGCCAGACAAGAGAGACTCTGTATGAAAACCACTTCCTTTGGCCCTGTACCTCTGAGCTCTGAGCTCCTTTCCAGCCTTAGCTCAGGGAGCAGAACCTCTGGAAATCCCCCACCCAAAAGGAATCCAGGCCTCAAGCACGTGGATTAGTGAGTCCAAATGCTCCCATCACCTTGCCCTGGCTAACGGGATGCTTCATCAGCCAGGCAGCAGGGATGCTGATCTCTGTGCTTATACACTAAGAATTGTAGGAGAACCATAATTCCCCCACAGGTATCTTTGGAAGATCCCTCTATAACCTCTTAGAATTCAAAAGTTCCTAAAAATTGAATTCAGAGAATATTGTAATTTACCGGGTCCTGGGCCAGCCATAACCTCATAACAATTGTGAAGAATAGAAGCTGGACACAGGAAGTCCCGGGTCCCATCGGGCCATAATCTGGTCCGTACTTGGGAGGGTTGGGCAGGGCATGCCCCGCAGCCTGGGCTACTTACACTAGGGCTTGCTTTCCTAACCAAAAGGGCCCTTCACTTCAACCTTCATGGCTCGGCTGCCCCAGACAATTCACTGGCCTCCCAAAGGCGCCGTTAGAAGAGCAGAGCAATTGGCACCAGGACTCACCCACAAGCAGAGCCAGGATGTCACCTGAGGTCCTGGATTTTGGGTCAAAACATCCACAGTTTGCCTAACTACTCTGTACAGCAGCTCCCCTGAAGTGTTTTCCCACCTGCCTCAGCAACAGGAGCGCTGTCTCAGGGCTGTCCCCCACACCAAGACCCTCACTGGACTCCGCCTGGTGCACAGACCAGCGAGGTCTGTGAGCTGCCCCTCGCCACAGGCGCTCCCAAAAGTGTACTTTAAAACTTCGGAGAGGCTTGTTGGTTTCCCGGTGAGCACGCGCCCTCGCTGCAATCAGCTCCAGGCTCCAGGGTTGGCCTCGCTTCCTTTCAGCCACGACCGGGCTGGCCATGCCTACAAGGCCTGAAGTGCGCGCGCAACCCGGCGCGGAGAGGCAGGGCGTTCTACGCCGCTGTCCGCCCTCTCACGTTGCCCACCTACGTCACGCTCCACAGGCCCGCCCAAAGGCTCCTGATTGGTGGAGAGCGCGCCGAGGGCTCCCGCCCCGCCCCCGGGTCCGCCCCGCGGCGGCACTGCCCCGCCCCCTGGCGTACAAGGCTGCCTGTGTGGTTTCAAGTTGGAACAAGAAGGCGCGGGCGCGAAAGGGCTCCGACTCTCTGAGGCTGAGGGGGCACTTTCCCGTCGTGCTCAGGCTCTGGCTGTCGCCCCAGGCCTGACTGTAGCTGGCTGCTGTTCAGAAGCACAGTCCCTGCCCAGCTCGGCCCGCCACAGGCCTCTTCCTCTCCTCAGCCCAAGACCGGCTCCCCCGGCCCCCTTCTTGAAGAGCACTCGGAGATGCCCATTGCCAAGGTCCCCCTCGACGCCGACACGCCTATGTGCCAGGAGGTGGGGCCTCGAAGACCCGCCGCCCGGCACTCGGGCTCTCGGGCCCAAGGCTGATGCGGGCTCCGCCGGTGCCCCACGCCTAGAGCCTCCAGGCCGGTCCACAAACGCCTCCTCCTGACGCCGCTCGCTCCCGGGCCCCTCATCCCCGGATCCCATGGGGTTCTCCACACTCTGGGACCCTTCCGCCTCGCGCACCCCCGGCTCCCTCCGAATCTCCTGCACCTCCGGCTTCTAACTCACACCAGCGCCCGGGACCCCTCCGCGGCCTGCCTCGGTGTGAGGGACCACTCCTTAGGTGCCTCTCCCTGCGCACACCGCTGCCCTCCGCACCCACGTCCCTGACTCTTCTTGAGCCCGGACGCGCCTCACCCAGCGTCTCCCCCAAGACACCCTCAAGGGACTCCCCCCACCCATCCCACACAGCTACCCCATACTCCTCCTGCCTCCTCCCCGGTAAACACCCCTCCTCAGGGTCCATCCTCACTCCCGCAGCCATGCGATCCCACCTTGGTCCCTGGGGCCCCACACCGCACACCTCGCCGAACCCTACCCGCACCCCCGCGGGCTCCTGCTTATCCTCCGCACGCCCCTCTCCCCATTCAGCTGCCAGACTCCTCCCCACATCCCTCACACCCCAGGCCCCTCACCCCACTCCTCTTCCCCTGGCACCCCCATACACTCCAGGACCCACACATCTCCCGCCAGAACCCCTCGGGAATCCCCGACACCCCAAGCCCTCACCTCACTCATCTTCCCAGGACCCCCCCAACCCCAGGGGCGCACGCCCCCTCCCGCGCTCCACTCACCGCCTCCATCTCACCCCGCACCCCTCTCCCCCCAGGCTGGCGGGCAGCGCCGGCGGCGGCGGAGGCCGGTCCCCGGGCCGGGACACACCCACCCGCCCGCCCTCCTTCTTTCCCTCGCTCCCTCCCTCCTTCCCTCCCTCTCTCCCGCCCTCCCGCCCTCGCTCCTCGCTCGCTCCTTCCCCCTCGCCCGCTCCCGCTTCGCGCGGCGCCCGGCCTCCTGCTCCGCCTCCCCGTGCGCGGCTCTCCCGGGCGCGGCTCCGGGGTTCATGGTGACGAGGCGGCGGCCGCTCGAGCCCAGCGGCGGCGGCGGCGGCGGCGGGAGCTGGGGCGCGGGCCCGGGCCGCCTCTCCCGGAGCGCGGGGCCGGGCGGCGGGCGCGCCCAGGCGGCGGCGGCGAGCGCCCCCCGGCCCGCGGCCCCGCGCGCCCCCCGCGCCGCGCCCCCGCGCCCCTGGCTTGCGGGGGGCCGGGCCCGTGGGTGGCCGCCGCGCCGCGCACCCATGGACGGCCCGGCCATCATCACCCAGGTGACCAACCCCAAGGAGGACGAGGGCCGGGCGCCGGGCGCGGGCGAGAAAGGTGAGGAGGGGCGCGGGCGGGCGGCGGGCCGGGGGCGTGTGCGCAGCCCGCGCCGCCGGAGTTTGCTGCCGGCGCGGGCGCGGGCCTGGGGGAGGGGTGCGGCCGAGGGGGAGGGTGCGTGGGTGGGGGTGCGCCCGAGGGCAGCTGTGCGTGTGCGTGTGGCCGCCGAGCTCGTGCGAGTGTGCCTGCGCCTGCAGAGACGGTGGGAGGGTGTGTGTGCATCTCACAAGGAGGATGTGAGCGTGTGCGGGTGACCCCGGGAGGCTGCGAGTTTGTGTCTGCGCTCACGCCGACACAGAAGTTGTGAGCGTGTGTGTGCTCCTGGCGGGTTGTGAGTGTGTGTATGTGCACTTACTTACATGTTGTGTGTGTGCACCTGACCGAGAGACTGTGAGTGCGTGTTTTCCTGACAGGCTGAGTTTGTGTAGGTAGCTTGTCTAGAGGGTCATGTGTACCTGCCTAAGGGGTTGTGGAGTGTGCATGTGCCTGCCTGAGGGGGAGCCTGAGCCTGCAGAGAGGGTGTATGTGTGTTCACTGCTGACGGAGTTTGTGTGTGTGTGATTGTGTGCCTACGCCACCCAACTTGCAGATTGAATATGTTGTGTCCATCGACTGGGAGGTGGGGGGAGTGTGTGTGCACCCACATACAAGAAGACGGTGTGTGCATCTGTGCACCTGACCATGGGCCTGTGTGTGCCGTATGTGTGCACCAGTAAGGCCGTGTGCCTGAGTGTGTCTAGTTCTGCAAGTGCTCGGGGGGCGAGGCAGTGCGAAGCCATCCCCCCTTCTTGGTTCCTTGCTGTTTCGTGACACCAACCTGTTGGGAGCACTTGCAAGGCCTTCTTGGGCCCCTTTAGGGCCCAGCTCTAACCAGCACTCGTGTTGCCCTCAGGGTGCCAGCTGTGTCCCTTCCCAGAGAGCTGGCACTGTGCTGCAGCGCCTGGTTTGATTTTGGCAGATTTTGGCTCCATCACCAATTTTGGCCCCGTGACAGTCTTCTCTTTCCTTTTTGCTCTTTTTCTTTGTGTCTCTGCGCCTCTCTGAGGCTTGGTGTCCCCCTCTGTCACGTGCCCTGCTTACTGTCCTTCTAGTGAGTTGTCCTGAGGCTTCGACAGACTGTTTTGAAGGGCCAAAGAATCTGGCTTGTTTCGGTCTGGTGACTAAAGCTTGCCTCACTGTTTTGCTGCTGTGTGGCCCTGCAAACACCTGGGCTGAGGTCAGGAGCAGCCCACCAGGGCCCTCCTCTCCTCTCCAAGCCTGGCCTGGCCACAGGCAACCCTCAGGAGAGAGATTTTTTCCCCATGTGTTAGCTCCCTTGCTGTGCAAGTGGGGTGGGGTGTACAGCCCTACTGAGGAAGCGGGATGGGGGTGGGGGGACACTCCACTGCCTCTCCCTGCACAGGGACCCCTGGGCAAGCCCACAGGAAAATGCAAGAAACCACAAGAGGTGCTTTCAGACTGAGGGTTTGTCAACCCATTTGCACTTTTGTAAACCATAAACACCGTGTGTCTGCAGACTTGTTTTCTTTTGTGTAAAATTAGAATTCAAACTCCTCTCGTCATTTTCTGTGCTTTACAAAACAGGCTAAAAAATTCTACAAGAGGATTCTGCAGGTGAATCTCCATGTCTCTCTGGGGCCCAAGAGGGCAGGGCCTGCGTGGTCTGGCCTTCCTGCCATAGAGCTGTCAGTTTTTGGGGCCCTGACCTGCAGGTCATGGGCTGGGTAGGTCCCTCAGGAAGGGTTTAGAAAGAGGCATCAGGGAGGTTTGATGCCTGTGCTCCTCACCCACTGTGGACGGAGTCCTTTGTGTGATGCTTTGCCAGAGAACAGAATCCACAGCTCTTATGAGGATAGGTGTGGCATAAAGCAAGGAAATATTTGTTAGGGCCTCAGCCCTCCTGCTGCCCCCCACCTGACTCCAGGAGCAGGAGCCTCCCTAACTTTTTTTCCTTGAGCTGCTAGGCTTTTTAAAGTAGAGTCAGTCTATCCAAAATCCAAACCACGTACAAATACTCAAGGATGGTGCTTCCATTCAACTTGTTTACATTGCTTTTCATGACAATCTTTTATCGTCTTGAATAGCTTATTTTGTTTGTTTCCTAGTGTCAGCCTGGCTGGTTGTTAACTGATTAGAGGAATTCCTTACCTGCTGCTCTGGGGTGGGGTGGCCAGCTAGTCGGTGCTTCTTGCTGAAGCGTTAAAATCCTACTCGATTTAGTTTTTCACTTTAAAAAATGGAAATGTTGGTTAACTACGGTTTGGCAATAAACCTTAGAGCCAAACTCTGAAACAGCTTCTTCAGATTCGTAAACCACTAAACAGGTTCAGCAGTGTTTCTGGCTTAAGCATGTTGTTGTATTTAGATAGGCACAGTATATTTCACATAATTTTAATTTTAGGTAAACAATCATTTTGTTTTTAAATATGGGGCCTGGCATGTTGTAAGTTTTCATACTAGTAAGAAACTATTGGTTTTAAAAGTTTGCTTTCATCATTTATTCTGTAAAATAGACATAATAATGACTGCCTCTTGGGTTTGATATGAGGGTTAAATGAGATGATGTACATTAAGGACCCTGCCTGGTTCACTGGTGTGTCAGTATTCCATAAACTTTTCTTTAGGTGTAGATTTGCAGAGGAACTACTAAGTATGGGCTGTGGTGTTTTGCACGAGTTGAATTGCTTCTTGACACATTGCCACGTGGTGGTGCACCACTCAGAGATAACTGTCACTGTCAGCCTGGCCTGTCACAGGAAATTTATTTCTTAGTTGTGTTTGGTTTGATTTGATTGATAGTGTAAAGATGCAGAGACAGATAGCCCTGTGAGTTTAACTCAGCCTGCACTGCCATCTGGAAATTCACTCTTACAAATCAATAAGAAGTCAAACAATACAGTAGAAAAGTGGATGAGAGATGTGAACAAGAAAGTCATAAAAAAGGAAATCTGAATGCCTAATAAATGTATGCAGTGATGCTCCACTTCATATGAAACATTTTCATGTGTCAGCTTGGTTAAACATTTAAATGACTGACAATATTCAAAGCATATAAAAGTTTTGGGAAATGGATATTCTTAGAGACTTTTGTTCTCAAGAGAGTAAAGTACAGACTTTTTAGTGTAATTTAGTACTGAACCATTTAGGAACACATTTGGCTGCAAGTAACAGAAAACCAGACTTATCCTGCAGTTTAAATCGAGAGGAGTTTATTCTTCTAACATAACAAACAGGAGGTAGGCTAGGGCTGGCTTTGGTTCAGCAAACTCATTGATATCAGGGCTGACACCTCTGTGATTCTCTTGGCTTTCCTTTGTGTTGTAACATAGTTGCCACCCCTTCAAACACTACAGCCACCTTCAGGGCAGAGAAAAGGGACAGTGCCAGTCACGTCTTCCCTTTTACCCTGGAAAGCAAAAACGTTCCTAGGGACTACCCAGCAAACTTTTGCGGATGTTTAATTGGCCAGAACTGGGTCACATGGCCACCCCTCATTGCAAGCAAAACAAGTTTCTAGCTTTTCCAGCCTTTTTTGTGAGAGGCAGGAGAGGAAATGATTGGAAATGGGTGGGAACAGGTGTTGGTTCAGCCAATCAGCAATGTTGGCCACGCCTTCAAAGCCCCAGTTCTAATTGTGGTTTCTCTTTTAGAGAAATATCCTTGTGTGTGCCCAAAGAAATGTGTACGAGGGATTTCACTGATGGCTACACTTGCTTGCAAAAGCAAAAGTTGGAACCATCAGAAGTGTCAGCAGGCAATCAGATTATGGTACATCAATACCACAGAATACTACAAGGCAATGGAAAAAGATAAGTTAAATTAGATCTAAACATACAGACAAATTTCCAAGACATTTTAAAGGGAAAAGAGGAATTTGAAGAACAGTATAAACAGTATGAGCCTATCTTTGTAAAAAAAAAAATGTCACACACAAAACTGTACATTTGTCTAGAAATACATGGAAAATAATCTGACGGAAGGACTTCAAACTGACAACAATGATTTTTCTCTGGGGAGAAGATTGGGATGGGAAGTGAGGAAACTTTGCCTTTTTGTTTAAATATTGATGAAAATGTACCCCTGTTTTATAGGTGAAAATTTTTTTAACTAAGGAAAGAAATACCCCATAGCTGTTGGGAAGGAAATAGATAATTTAAGGGAACTGAACAAGAATAAAACAAACAAAACCCCTCAATTCATATGCAATATTAGCAAAAATTTATCAACTCCAGCTAAACAGTTAATTATTTTGTAAATTAATACATGTCCCTTGATGAAATTTCTGCAGGCAAGTTTGTTTTGGCAGATATTTTGGCCCAGGATGCTAGGTATGTTTCCCCCAAATGTTTGCAAAACTTAAGCTTAATTCAGAAAACTTTAACCTTTGGGCTGCTAACAAAATTGCAAAAATACAGCAAGGAGACTCTTGGAAACAGTAGTTATTTCAGATGCCAGAACAGATTTGAAGTAGATTCAGTTTGATTAACTTTTTAAAATTCTACTTTTTATTTGGAGATAACTGTAGATTTACATGCAGTTGTAAGAAATCACACAGAGATCCCCAGTCCTCTCTACCCCCACCCCTAATATTAATATCTTGCAGAACTATAGTACAAAATCAGGATGTTGACATTGGTATAGTCAAGATACAGAAAAATTCCACCACCGGGCTGATGCCTCATGGTGCCCTTTTATAACCACACCTACTTCCCTCCCATCCCCACCCTGTCCTTAGCCCGTTGGCAACCACTAGTCTGTTCTTCATTTCTAAAATTTTGTCATTTTAGGAATGTATATAAATAAAATCAAACAATATGTGATCTTTTAGAATTGGCTTTTTTTGCTCAGCATAATTCTCTGGATTCTCATCCATGTTGTTGCTTGTATTAATAGTTTGTTCTTTTTTTATTACCAAGTAGTATTCCATGATGTGGTATACCACAGTTTGTTTAATCATTCACTCTTTGAAGGACATCTGGATTATTTCTGGGTTTGGGCTT